AACACCATATGGCTTTTTAAAACTAAAACCTGTTGCCATCAAATTGATTCTGACTCAGGACAATTCCATAAGATACAGAATAGAACTGCCCCATAGGGTGTCCTTGGCTGTGATTTTCATAGTATAAGGTCACTAAATGTTTCTTCTTTGGTGATGCTGGGTGGGCTCGGGCTGTCAAACTGTAGGTCAGTGGCTGTTGTTGTAGAGTCCGTTCTAACTCATAGTGACCCTGTACAGGGTTTCTGAGGAGCACCTGGTAGGTTTGAACTGCTGACCTTGTGGTTCACAGTCCAGTGCTGATCCTACAACATCACACCAGGAGTCCACTGTTAGTGCAAACCAGGATCCCTATGTAACTACTGAAGCTAGGTTATAAAAGGCCATGCAGATGCTGCCTGGTTCTTTGAGGACGTTTGTTCTCTGGGTTTTTCTTCTCAGAACATTCCTTATCAGAATTTGGACGATGTGATGTGAGAAGTCCACGCCATATGGAGAGGCTGTACCAACAGTCTCAGTTCTGGAAATTTCCGTGTGAGTGAAAGAAACTTCAGATAATTCTGGCTCCCAGCCATGGAGTCACCCCAACTTTAAAGTCTTCCCAGCTAAGCCCCAGACATCACAGAGCAAGAGTAAAGCATCCTCACCATGCCCTGCTAAAGAAATGTGGCACCAACAATTTCTCCCACTGCATTCTCCATTCAGCTGGCTTCAGTTAAATCATTGCCAAGGACACACAGAACTCAGACAACATACTCACAGCTCTTGAGCTTACTAGAAAATTTACCAGGTTACAAGTGAGGGTTAGAAATGCTTTGGGCATGGTTGTTCCAGTCAGGGTAGCCTTCCCTCAGCCATGCCCATAGTCAGACTTTCTCTATTACACCAAAGTTACAAAGCTCTTTTAGGACTGTCGATAAATACCAACAGGACACACCATTCCACCAGGGGTCTCAATTTGAAACCACTAGCTCTAGCTCTGTGGGTCAGCAAATCAAGTTCCCTGAATTAAGTACTGGAGACACCCTACTCTACAAGCAAGCTTCCTGTCCAGTCACTCAGCTTTACTTGCTCCATGAGCTCGGAAGACCACGGCTCTGTCTCATGCTCTAAGGCCTTGGTTCTGCTTCTACTGCTGTTTCACTGCTCTGCTACTCCTCTAGTGCCAAAGCTCTCCATCCCTGGGTCCAGGAGTTCAACGCAGAGATCTTGGGGTCCAAAGGACACACTCCACTCCTGGCTCTTTCTTTTTTATAGTAATTCGAACCCCCATTCGTGTGTCACTGTGTTTATAAAATGAGATGGCTGATTTTATACCCATTAGAGCTCTGGGTTTTTACAATCACAGTTAACCCTGTTAACCACTCACAACTGAATTACATCATCCTGTCAGCATCTTCTCATGCCTTCTCTTACCCAGAACCATCAGGACAAAAATGTTATTTGGTAGAAATGATAAAAACTAAGGCTAGAAGAGGCATATTAAATTATTCATTATGCCACCCTGCTCAAATTCCTGACCCACAAAACTATGTTCATAATTAAAAGATTGTTGTTTTATACCATTTAGTGTTAAGGAACTGGGGTAGCATAATGGTAACGAGTCAGGACGCTAACTTCAAGGCAAGTAGTTTGAAACTACCAGCTGTTCTGTGGGAGAAAGATGAAGTTTTCTGCTCCTGTAAAGATTTACAACCTCGGAAATGCTATACAGGATCACTATGAGTTAGAACCGACTCCACAGCCCATAACCACCACCTCCAGTGTTGGGATATTGTATTAAGCAGCAATAGTAAATAAGATAGTTACTAAAGCATTTTCTCAAGGAATATCTATTAAAATGAATAAATTCTTTAAGATTAAAACAATCAGCAAAGTATGGCAAATAAAATAAGAGATGCACTCTTATTTAGTGGTGAAAACATCAGATGAACAAAATTCAGCTTTATCTACTTCAGTTGTGCTGAAGACTGCCTCTAAAATATCCTTCAATCCCTTACTAATTTCAAAGTTGTTCGTTTATGCCAGTTTCCCAAATGTGTTTCCTTAATACCAAACATTGTCTGGGGATCACATGCTAACAAAGATCAAGGGTCATTGTTATTACTAGACAAGAATTAGAGAATTCTTCAATTCAATAAAAAGCAGAATAGTAAACACAGCACACTCACCCCACAATGGTCCCAGTTCTATGGTGGACAAGGTTGAGTACAGATGCCCTGTGTTGAGTTACAAGTCTAGCAGACTTGAACTCTGAGATGATGAATCTCAACTAAATACAATACAGTAATGGGGAGGAAGAAGTTGTAAATAATTGGAATTCTTCACTTGTTAGTCACACAATACTAATTAGATATAAAGCAAAATGTAATTGCCATCTCTAAAAATTATTTAGTGAATATTTTAATTGATAAAATATCAAATAAGAGGAATTTTGGGTTAAATTTCCATTTTATTCAAGTTATCGGATAATGCAAGTTAAATATATATATACATGTTGTGTTGTTGTTGTTTAGTGCCATCGAGTCGGTTCCGACCCATAGTGACCCTGTACAGGGTTTCCGAGGGTGTAAATCTTTACGGGAGTAGAAAGCCTCATCTTTCTCCCGCGGAGCGGCTGATAGTTTCCAACCGCTGACCTTAAGGTTCACAGTCCGATTCGTAACCACTACGCTACCAGAGCTCCATATATATATATGGACTCACTGAAATTGAGAAAAAACAAAGAATGTCACATAAAAGCCATGAATTTAACTCTACTTTAGAAACACTAATGTATACATTCAACAGGGTTGTATTCTTTTACCATACTTATTCATCCTGTATGTTGAGCAAATAATCCAAGAAACTGGATTATATGAAGGAAAACATGGCAACAGCATTGGAGGAAGACTCATTAACAACCTGCAATATGCAGATGATTGATACAGCCTTGCTTGCTGAAAGTGAAGAAGACTTAAAAGTACTTACTGATGGCGATCAAAGATCACAGCCTTCGGTATAGATTGCATCTCAATATAAAGAATATGCAAATCCTCACCACTGGACCAATAAACAACATTCTTTTTAATGGAGAAAAGATGGAAGCTGTCAAAGATTTCATTTTTTCTCAGATCAGCCATCAACACTCATGGTAGCAGCAGTTACAGAATCATAGGCAAGTCTGCTATACAAGACCTTTTTGAAGTGTTGAAGAGCAAAGATATCAGTTTGAGGACTAAGGTGCACCTGACTCAAGCCATGGTATTTTCAGTAACCTCATATGCATGTGAAAGTTGGACAGTGAATAAGGAGTCTGTATAAGAACTGATGCATTAGAGTTATGGTGTTGGATGAGAATACTGAAAGTGCCATGGGCTGCCAAAAGAACAAATAGATCTGTGTTAGATGAAATACAGCCAGAGTGCTCCTTGGAGGCCAAGATGGCCATACTTCAGACATGTTGTCAGGACAGACCAGTCACTGGAGAAGGATATCATGTTAGGTAAGGTGGAGGGTCAGAGAAAAAGAGGAAGACCCCTAGCGAGCTAGATTGACAAAGTGACAGCATCAGTGGACTCAAGCGTAGCAACAATTGTGAGGTTGGCCCAGGACCGAGCAGTGTTTCGTTCTGTTGTGCATATGGTCGCTATGAGTCAGTATCAACTCGAAGGGACCTAACAACAACAAATGTCTAAAATGTTCTTAGTGTCACCTTTCCAAACCACTGCCTCCCACCACACCCATCACACCCACCACACCCCACACACATACACCCAACCCCACCTCTATACATACACACACACCCTGAGCTCATTGTTTTCAGAAGTGACTTGAATTGCATTTCAGATTTGGGAATGTAATATGTAAATGTAAATACTTGAAGAATGCAACTACAGCCTTCTAAAGTCACTGTGAAAGTTGCTCTCTATCAGGAATTCACAGTGAGACTAGTTATCACTTCCAAAGTCTGCATCATTAGGAGAAGATTTTCCTGATACTGATGATGATCCCTCTCAGCAGTTTATCAGTCCCCAAACCCTAGTCCAGTAGGGACTGAGAGCAATCCAGGTCCCTTTGAGTCTACTCAATTTTATTCCTCTTATCCCTGAGACTCTTGACTGGTTATATAGTGTTGTTTTCCAAAGAAAAACTGACATGCAGTTCTGATTCCAAGAGTTTGCATGTATTGCAGTGGGTAAAATAAACTTGCTATGAAAATATTTGTATTGCTGCACACTGGGATTCCAAGAATAAAAAAGGGAGTCCCTTCTAAAATATTGGCTTAATATCCATTGCTGTCAACTTTATTCCGACTCATTGGTGTTATTGATAAGTGCCATCAAGTCAGTTCCAACTCATAATGACCCTGTATAGGGTTTCTAGGGAACAAGTGGTAGGTTTGAACTGCCGACCTTGTGGTTCAAAGTCCAGTGCCAATCCTACAGCACCACACCAGAAGTCCATTCCAACTCAAGTAACCATGTAAGACAGATTAGAACTGGTGGTCTTTATGCAAGTAGCTGGCACCTCTTTCTTCCACAAAGTGGCTGGGATGTTTCAACCACTAACCTTTCAGTTAGCAACCAAGCACTTTAACCACTGCACACCAGGACACCAAAAGATTGGCTTAGAAGCTTAATATATCACTTGTTAAACCAGCAAGAAAATCAATTCTCATGTAGTCTGACTTACGGCAACTCCATGTGGTGCAGAGAAGAACAGTGCTTTTGGGGGCCTTCAGTGGTTGTGATCTTTTCAGTAGATTGCCAGGCACTACTTCCAAGGTGTCTTTGGGTAGACTCAAACTTCTAATCTTTCTAGTTAATAATCTAGCCCTTAATCATATGCTCCACCCAGGGACTCCTCCACAAACCAGAGGCTGTATGTAAGGAACTCAGAGTGCACATTCAATAGTAAAAAGGAACATGTCATCTCCCCATTAAGGTCAGATTCATTGGATTTCTTGGACTAAAGTCCCTGGCTGCTCACTACTTTGTTTTGTTCTGTTCTTTCCCTTGCAGGGATGTCTCCTATACCAGCGTGAAAGCCCTGCCATCTAAAGGCCTAGAGCACCTGAAGGAATTGATAGCAAAAAACACTTGGACTCTAAAGAAACTCCCACTTTCCTTGAGTTTCCTTCACCTTACACGAGCTGACCTTTCTTATCCAAGTCATTGTTGTGCTTTTAAGAATCAGAAGAAAATCAGAGGGTAAGTGGTACGGGTCTGGAATAAATGACAGAAGGCCTTGGTGGATGTTAAATGAATTTCTGGGTTTGGGAGAAAAACTTTGTGATTTGATACCAGATGGAGGAGAATCAGAGGCAATCCCAGAAACAAGAAATCCATGGGGCAATAATGACCTGGTGACTTGTGCATGGCAAGCTACACAGACATAATTACTGACCTCTAGCTACACTACTTATTAGACATCACAATGCATGTTAGATGCTACTAGCATGGTGCAAACTTACTAAGGACACAACAGTCCAACAATTGGATTACCTGATCTATTTGTTGTGTGCCAAGTCAGTTCTGACTCATAGCATCACTGTATAGGGTTTCCACCTTAAGGTTCAAATTGACCTTGCAGTTTGGTGCTTATCCTACAGAGCCACACCATGACCCCATACTTGATCTATTTGCTAACATGTGTGTGTGCTTTAGAGTCAGCTGGATTTGGAACCCAGTTCTGCTGCTTCCTAGCTGTGCTACTGCAGCTAATTTATATAAACCCTCAGCCTCTGAGAATGGAAATCATAAAGCTATCATTCATAGGGATTTTGACAAGATCCAATGATAAACTGAAAACTAAGTAAATTGTCACAATGCCAGAGTCCCTGAGTGGTGGAAACAGTTAAAGTGCTGACTGCTAACCAAAAGACTGGTGGTTCAAGTCCACCTGGAGGTGCTAGGAAAGAAAGACCTATTGATCTACCTAGGGAAATTTAGCTAATAAGAACCCTCTAGAGTACAGTTTCTGGGGTTTTTTGTTTTGATTTGGAGTCCTGGTGTGGTGCATTGGATTGCAAAGTCGGTTTGATCTGCAAGATCAGTGGTTCAAGCTCACCAGCCACAGCTCAGAAACCCTATACAGGGTTGCTATGGGTCATAACTGACTCGACAGCACTTAAAAACAACAGAGTACCATTTTACTCTGACATACATGAGGTCACCATGAGTTGAAATTGACTCGACAGCAACTGGAAAATCACAGTGTCTAGAATAAAGGCACTCTGATAGCATAGTGGTTACGAATCGGGCTGCAAACCGCAAGGTCAGCAGCTCAAAACTACCAGTTGTTCCACGGGAGAAAGATGAGACTTTCTGCTCCCATAAAGATTTACAGCCTCAGAAACCCTGTACAGGGTCACTATGAGTTGGAACCGACTCCACAGTACATAAACACCACCACCAGAATGAAGTAAATATAAGCTACACTATGTGTTGTTTTTATATTATGCTGCTTGTGATGCTGTGAAGAATGACCTTTATTATCTTTTTACCTTTTCTGACTCTTGCCCTGACATACATTGCGTTATTTGCCCCTTTATATCTCATGTACTTCTCCCCCTATTTGCCTAACTCCAACTTCATTTGTCTCTTACTCACTTCCTTTTAACTCCTATATAAATGCTTACTGGCTGAATTTCTGTACTCATATTTCCAGTAAACCACGAACAGGGATCTAGAGGTGAGAGTGTTGGACTGCTAACCATGGGGTTGGTGCTTCAAACCCACCAACCATTACGTGAGAGCAAGATGAGACAATCTGCTCCCATGAAGACTTACAGTCTCAGAGACTCTATACAGGGTCACTATGAATCAGAATCAACTAGATGGCAGTGGGTTTTTTGGATTTTGTGAAGGCAGAGGAAACAGGATAGTTGAACACCTGGGAAAGAAGGCCAATATGGGCAAAACTACAGTTAAAGAAAAGTTAAGAGTGAGAAGTGGAGATAGTGACAGAAGATTCTATACTGATGCCTTGTGCACTGAGTAGAAGACCGGGGCAGGGTGGGAGGCTAAGGTGGTCTTCAGGGGCTTGGTCTGTATTTCTGTTTAACTTCCAAATAGGTCAGAATAGCCAGTCTAGTGGGGGTTTTTACCAGAGCCTAGTAAGTGAATCAAAATCTGCTCAGTAGCTGACGTAGGTTAAACAATTCCGTTTGTGTGAGTCTGGTAGGCCAGGAAACAATGCCTTGGTTCTTTGAGCATGACTGTATTTTCCATTGTTGTAGTTGTTAAGTGCTATTGAGTTGGCTCTGACTCATGGCAACCCTGATTAGGGTTTCTTAAGAATGATTGGTAGATTTGAACCGCCGACCTTGTGGTTAGCAGTCCAATTCTTATCCTACAGCGCTACACCAGGACTCCACTATTCAACAACTATTTATTGAGCACCTACCGATGGCAATGGGTTTGGTATGGGCTTTGGTATGTGCCTAACACTGTTCTGATACTGAAGCTACAGTGAATAGGACAGTGAGAGGAGGCCCTCTCACATGGAATTTATATTCTATGGGAGAAATCAGAAAATAAATAGGCAAATAATAAAATACCAGATAGTGTTATAAAGAAAATTTTTTAAAGGATGAGACTATTTCTTTAAGGCTATCAGAGAAGGTAGCTGATTTGACTCTACAAATGGATAATGAGTACAGTGGTCATGAGGTTTTCATGCTAAAGCCCTGGATCAAAATACAGTCAACGTTTGTATGGTGCTAGTAAAATAAACTCATCTAGTTCTTTATTTTTTTTTTTTAACTTTTTACTGGGAATTGAGTGAAGGTTTATAGATAATATCATTAGTTGTACCTTCAACAAATCAGACGTTTGCTTCATCTCAATGATTGCAATGTCCTCCCTGCAACAAGTTATCCTGCTTCCTTTCTTCCATACCACCCCCTCCCATCCCTTCTCAACTTTCTCCCTAAGTTGCCCTTTTGATTTAGAATGATTGACCGTTTTATGAGGAGCATACCTTACTAATGTTGTGGTAGCCCCCATACATCTATAGGGTGTATAGGTGTATAGGTGTGTTTATCTACTGCTTGACCGAAAAGCAGACCACTGGGGTGAGTTCATTTTCAAACCTGAAGGGTAGTCGAGAGCCGTAGTCTCAGGTTCCTCCTGTTTCTTTCTCACCAGTAAGTCTAGTCTTCTTTTATATATAATTTTAAGTTTTGTTCCACATTTTCTTTCCCTCTATCTGAGACCTTCTAATGAGATCCTTTTCAGAGCAGTTAGTAGTGATAGAGCCACACCATCTAGTTCCTCTGGTCTCAGAGTCATAGAGACTGAAGTTCACAAGTTTCATTAGTCTAGAGTCATTGGGCTAGAGTCCTAGTGTGACACTGTAGGATAAGCACTGGATAGCTAACAATAACGTCAGTGGTTCTAACCCACCAGTCACTCTTTGGAATCCCTATACAAGGTCATCAAGTGCTGGAACCCACTTGAAGGCACTTAACAACAACAACAGCATTTCTTTAACACTTCTGTGTGAAATAGATACTCTGATTGATTTTATTTTACAAATGACTAAATGGATGTTCATATAGTTGCCCAAGGCGTTGGTTATTGTTGTTGGTAGTCAGTTTCAACACTGGCAACTCCATGTATACAGAATAGAATGGCTCCATATGATATTCAAGGGAGTAACATTTCGGAAGCAGATCACCAGACCTGTTTCCGACCTTTTGGCTAATAATTGAATGCTTAACTGTTTGTACCACCCAAGGGCTCCTGCCCAAAATATAACAACTAGTAAATAACGGAGCCAGGTTCTAACTTGTGAGGGCTGACACCGCCATCTACTCTTTTTTATCACTGCTGTTCTCAAAGTCATAGCAAATGAACAATAAGGCTAATGTATCTGGCTCACTGTTGAGGAAAGTAATAAGAGATGACACAGGAGAGACAGGCATGACCTAACCATATAGAATCTTGTAGAATTCTGTAGACCATAGTAAGGAGTTTGGGTATTTTTGTAAATGTTATCAGGAGCGTTAACAAGCTTTAAGCAGGCAGTGACTTGGTTCTTGTTGCCTTACAGAATCCTTGAGTCCTTAATGTGTAATGAGAGCAGTATTCGGAGCCTGCGTCAGAGGAAATCTGTGAATGCCTTGAATGGTCCCTTTTACCAGGAATATGAGGAGGATCTAGGAGACAGCAGTGCTAGGTACAAAGAAAACTCCAAGTTCCAGGATGCCCCCAGCAACTCTCATTATTATGTGTTTCTTGAAGAACAAGAGGATGAGATCATTGGTTTTGGACAGGAGCTCAAAAATCCCCAGGAGGAGACCCTACAGGCCTTTGACAGTCATTATGACTACATTGTGTGTGGTGGCAATGAAGATATGGTGTGCACCCCCAAGTCAGATGAGTTCAATCCCTGTGAAGACATAATGGGCTACAAGTTCCTGAGAATTGTGGTGTGGTTTGTGAGTCTGCTGGCTCTTCTGGGTAATGTCTTTGTCTTGTTTATCCTCCTCACCAGCCACTACAAACTGACTGTCCCTCGCTTTCTGATGTGCAACTTGGCCTTTGCAGACTTCTGCATGGGGATCTACCTGCTCCTTATTGCCTCTGTAGACCTATACACTCACTCGGAGTACTACAACCATGCCATAGACTGGCAGACAGGCCCTGGTTGCAACACAGCTGGGTTTTTTACTGTCTTTGCCAGTGAGTTGTCAGTGTACACATTGACGATCATCACCCTGGAGCGCTGGTATGCCATCACTTTCGCCATGCGCCTGGACCGGAAGATCCACCTCAGGCATGCATATGTCATCATGGTGGGGGGCTGGGTTTGCTGCTTCCTACTTGCCCTGCTCCCTTTGGTGGGAGTCAGTAGTTATGCCAAGGTCAGTATCTGCCTGCCCATGGACACAGAGACCCCTCTTGCTCTGGCCTATATTGTCCTTGTTCTATTGCTCAACATAGTTGCTTTCATTATCGTCTGCTTCTGTTATGTGAAGATCTACATGACCGTCCGAAATCCCCAATACAACCCAGTGGATAAAGACACCAAGATTGCTAAGAGGATGGCTGTGTTGATCTTCACTGACTTCATGTGCATGGCCCCGATCTCATTCTATGCTCTGTCAGCACTTATGAACAAGCCTCTCATCACCGTTACCAACTCCAAAATCTTGCTGGTTCTTTTCTACCCACTTAATTCTTGTGCCAATCCATTCCTCTATGCCATTTTCACCAAGACCTTTCAGAGGGATGTTTTCATCTTACTCAGCAAGTTTGGCATCTGTAAACGCCAGGCTCAAGCATATAGGGGCCAGAGAGTTTCTCCAAAGAACAGTACTGGTATTCAAGTCCAAAAGGTTATCCAGGACATGAGACAAAGTCTTCCCAATATGCAAGACAACTATGAACTGATTGAAAACTCTCATCTAACCCCAAATAAGCAAATCCAAATCTCAGAAGAATACAAGCAAACAGTTTTATAGACTGTCTCTACACTATTTGCAATGATTTTTGTTGTTGCTAAATGCCATTGAGTCGGTTCCGACTCAGCGACCCTGTGTAGGGTTTCTGAGGAACAGCTGGCAGGTTTGAATTGTAAACCCTGTGGTTAGCAGTCCAGTGCTTATCATATAGTGCCACACCAGGTCTCTATTTGCAGTGATAGGTAGACTTAAAAGTTTTCTTGAACGTACATTCCAACAACAAACACAACACCCAACTGAACTAATCTAACCCTTGTTGTTGTTGTTGTTAAGTGCCGTTGAGTCGGGTCCAACCCATAGCGACCCTGTACAGGGTTTCCAAGGGTGTAAATCTTTACAGGAGTAGAAAGCCTCATCTTTCTCCCGCGGAGCGGCTGGTAGTTTCGAACCGCTGACCTTAAGGTTCGCAGCCCGATTCGTAACCACTATGTAGGTGATATTTCATGAGTGAGGGTTCATCTCTAGGGTGACATGATGTATTAACCTAATCATCACTTCAGAGAAAGAAGAGATGCTACCAACATAACTGAAGCCTGGGTCATATCAAAATAATTGATGCTCTGGAAGGCTTTCTTTATGACTAAATGCAGAGATGGCATTGTGTAGTATGCTCAGTAAATATAAGCTGAGTCATATCAACAACAAGCTGCTCAGTTTTATATGATATTTTATACTAAAAAGTCAATAAACAGTCAATGCTTAATAGCATTGGTGATCACAAGATAACATTGGGCCCAGAATGACTCAGTTCAATTTCATGATTCCTGGTACAATCAAAGGGATTTGAAAAGCCAAACACCACAAGACACCAATCAAGGAACAGCTTTTACAAGACATGAAGGAGAGGATTTAGTTTTGAGTTATGTTCTTTTTTCTAACTCTTTCAAACTTGTAATCCTCTCTTCACAAGGATTCTTGATGTGGTCCAGCTGTTACTTGTTGCCTGGAGAAACAAGCAGGAGTTCAGCGTATGAGGCCTAGCACATTAGGTACTGCTCTTCCTAGCTGGTCTCATCAAATAAAGGACATGAACTCTAGAAAGTATTTCTAAGTAGCAACAAGTGTGAGTTATGGGTGGAGCTCACTAAATTATCCATTGATTAGTAAAGTAAGTTGGACCCCAGTTAACCATGGAAACTTGGGCAAATCAATCTATCTGTAGGCTTGAGAATTCTGTAAAAGTGAAGGAGTTCAATGGTCACTTCCAGTTTTAATTATCTATGTCTATTCCTTTCTCTCAAAAAACATATATTTCTGTAACAATGAGAAAGAAAAGCACAAAGGAAGTAGAATGTTTTGTTTTGTTTTTTTCCATCTTGAGAGGCTGCTGTCTTCTCTTTGGAGCCTAGATAGGAGAGGACTTCAAAAAGTTCACAGAAAATGAAATAGAAAGAGAGTGACATTTTTGCCAACTTTTTGTATAGGACCCAGGAAGTGGTCTCTTCATTCCATTTATAATTATAATGTCTGAGTCAAAAATTCTGTTGAGTGACCATGTTGGGTTGGATATGAATGTTTCATCAGATACTCATTATTATAATTATCAAGCCAAAAACATAAATCAATACTGACTCATATCATAGAATGAAAGTTAGTTTTGCACATTTTGATTATTTAGAGTTTCTACTCTCCTTCCCCTAATCACTGCAAAACACTGAACTTATCTTCAAGAATTGGTGTCTTCAAGGATTGGTATCTTTACTTAGCCACTTCCAGTCCACAATACTATATATACTGAAGCAGTCAGGGCAGTTTCTTCTTTGTAGCAATTCCCAGCCTTTTCTCAATGCTTGCTGATCACTGAACACAGAACCTCTATTCCTCAGTAATACCCCGTTGTGTCAATCACGATCTCTATTGATAAATGTATGCTTCCGGTTATCTGTAAAGAAAACCAGAATACACACCTGTTGCTGTCGAGTCAATTCTGACTGATGCCGACCCTGTAAGGATAGGCTAGAACTGCCCCAGGAGGTTTTCAAGGCTGTAAACCTATATGGAAGCACACAGCCACATCTTTCTCCTGCAGAGCATCTGGTGGGTTCAAACTGCCAAGCTTCCAACAGTAAGTAGCCCAGTGCTTTAACCATGTCACCAGATAGGCTCCTTTAGCTGAAAAGACAGTCCCTTAATTTCTGGCTAGGAAAGAATCCCCCATGCACTGTTTCTCAGTGAACAGCACCATAAGATAAGAGTTCTTGTTTTGTTGAAATTGTGGCACAGGGTTAATGAACCAAATGGACCCCTAAGGTAGGTGGTTCCCTTGACTCACCTGGAATCTCTCCACAACTGTGACTATTTCCGGTTGTCACTGAGACTTGCATGTGTTCAGATAAGTATTATAAACACCTAAAAATCATGACTTACCCATCAGTTCACTTGCATCTAATGAACTGAAACAAAAGTGTTACCTTGTGACATGTATCTTTCACTTGTGACATTTTGAAATGTCTCACCGTGATAAGTTATGTGCTTTTACGTTGAGTAGCTGAACTAATGCTTTGGAAACATAGGCCTAAAAAGTGACTTCAATGGAATTGCTATTAAAATTGAACACTCTGTGCTAGCTGCATGTCATAATTTTTTTTTCCTATGAAATGTTTATGCTGACTCGCAGAGTCTTGCTTTTTGTAATTTGTGAGTTTCTTTTAGGGTTACCATTGTATATGTTAAAACTAAAGATGGGAAAAATAATTAGCACATTTGCTAATAAATCCATATTAAAAAATAAATTGCAGATTGTCAATTAACAACATAAGGATAACACTATGCTATGATTATGGTTGGTCTCTATGTGAAAAATAAAGCTTACTCAAGGTGAAATGAATTATGATTGCTTCACAGGTAGTGATGGATGGTGGTGGTTATGAGCTATGAAGTCGGTTCGGACTCATAAAGCCTTATCTTTCTCCTGTAGAACAGCTGGAAGTTTTGAACTGCAGATCTGGAGGCTAGCAGCCCAACTTGTAACCACTAGACTACCAAAGCTCCTTGGTGATGGATAAGAGAAAGAAATAGTAAAAGCGACTATGCCAAACAAATGCTTAGTATTCACAGTAGGAGTTTAAATAGTGCTCTAATGACAATAATAAATCTATAAAACCTTTCCAGAGTTCACTTTCTCTAACAGCTTTCAGCTTTCTGAAAAGAGACCCAAATTAGTGTGAATTAAAGGCCTAAGGCTACTCATAATATATGTCACAAAATTCATACCCTAAAATTTCTCCAGCATGTTGCTCAAAGGAATGTCTCTCAAAATACCCCCGAAATTCACTGACTCTTGGTTCATAGATAATCCAAAAACCACCAATGAAAAGACAAATGTCTACTATGAAGTGGTACCAAAAAATAGCCTCCAAGAAGTAAAATATAATCAAAATAACGAAAAATAATAACAATTAGAGAATTGACTAGTACAAAAACAAGCAAGTTGTTCTCCAGGAAGCCATCAAGGCAAGCAATCAATTCCCTTCAGGACAAACTCTTCTCCAAGACTGAAACTCAAAGGGAACACATAAGCAGGCATGTAACCTTACTGGCAACCACACTGGTCTACTGATAACTGGGAGAGGGGGAAAGGCATTAATGAAGAAATGGGGTGAGTTCAACCATGTTCCATAGACTCCCATTGACCTGGAGATGAGAGAGAGAAGAGGAAGGGTTGGTTAGTCCCAAGTGTTATGAGACCTGGGGACACTTGAGCCCATGGACAAGGACATAGCCACAGAGGACTAGAGCTAAGAGTGAAGTATCCAGCAGATATGAAGTGAGGGGAGATGCACAAGAACACCCAAACTTGCAGATAATACCCATTTCACCTAGCCTCAATGGCTTGATAATAAGAACTCAGCTCAAGGTCAGCAGTTCGAAACTACCAGCTATTCCATGGGAGAAAGATGAGGCTTTCTGCTCCTGTAAATATTTACAGCCTCGGAAACCCTGTACAGGGTTGCTATGAGTCGGAACCGACTCCACGGCACACAACAACAACAACAATAGGAAGATAAAAATAAAAAACAATTTTTGATAAAGGAAACAAGTGTAAATTGCTACAATTTGATGAACTTGACCTATACTTGTGGTTGTAGTAGCTCAAAATATCAACTGAGAAGGAAGAAGTCTTCACATCAAGTATCAATGCTATCCCCTCTGTACACAGGGCAGATAGGGACAGGCAACTTAGACATTGGCTACCTAAAATGAAGTGCCAATAAAGGCACAAAGTTACTGGTTTACAGGTTTTCAAGAGGGTGTTTAGTAGGGAGGTAGAGTCCCTACTGAACAGTTTTCATCTTGTCTAGATGGGTCTGGTGAAAAGAGATGTGGATAGGATTCTGCTGATTCAGTTGTAATTGCTATCATGACTAATTGTGATAGTCACAACTGTAAATGTAGACATTTTGTAACAAAAATGGGGAAGTAGTTAATCTTACAGTACAGAAAGAGAGGACCCTAGGACCATCAAAGTAGAAGAGCACAAGCGGAGTGATTCTCTACCCAGAGAAGCAGCGACACCAGAGATGGAGGCAGAGATGAGGACATAGAGAGAGAGAGCAGATGAGGACTCTGGACTCATGGAAAGACAGGAGCTGGGTGCTGGCAGCCAGGAGGCAGGCTTGCAGAATGTGCCCTTTGGTTGTTTAAATAATGATATATTCCTGAGTGTTTCTGTATACATTCCCACACCCAAAACAAAACAAAAAACAATATGCAAATCAATCAATCAATCAATCAGGAGATCCATGGACTGGGAGAATCAGGGGAAGGAAGAATGGTATGACCACTAAAAAGTGTGAGTTTCTTTTGGGGGTGATGAAAATGCTGTAAAAATGATTGTGATGTTTGTACAACTCTGGATACACTACAAACCCAAACCATTGAACTGAACGCTTTGAATAGGTGAATTAAATAGTTTATAAATTATAGCTCAATAAATCTAACCACTCATCTGTCAAAATATAATAATAATAATAATAAGGGAATATGAAAGTTTGTTGAGAGATGGCCAAAGTGTATTG